GATCTGATGGAACCATTGAGAGCTACATTATGTACAAAAAAGTTGATGCACAGAAAAAGCTTTTACTTCGTAAGAAAAAGAGAACTAGTTGGCATAAGTTGTGTGAATCATTTAACAGATATACACCTACTAGCATTATTTGGAATTATATGAAAAGATTTAAAAACATAGGTATTCAAAATAAATTTAGATTAGATGATTGGATTCCTGAATTTATAGAAAAATATGCTCCATCAGTTCCACCAGCTAATTCACAAAATAATTCAAATTTAACTAGTATCTTTAATAAAAATGATAATAATACAAATAGCTTCTTATCTGAACCATTCTCATTGCAAGAGTTGCAAAGTGCTCTAGCAAGTAGAAAAAATACTAGCCCAGGATTAGATAATGTAACTTATGAAGTATTGAAAAATATGCATCCAAATGCCCTAGAGATTTTATTGCAAATATATAACTTATTATGGAATAAACTAGAAATCCCAGACTCTTGGAAAACACAATGTATCATACCCATCTTGAAATCAGATAAACCAATAAATGATCATAATTCTTATAGACCCATAGCATTATCATCTTGCATAGGAAAAATATTTGAATATATGTTAAAAGTAAGATTGGAATGGTATCTTGAGTGTAACAATAAATTACCTGTACAACAGTCTGGTTTCCGAAAGGGTCATAGTGCAACAGAAAATTTTATTTCCCTTATAACCGATATCAAAAACTCTTTTTTCAGTCACTCAAATACAGCTTGTGTTTTCTTAGATATTCAGGGAGCTTTTGACAATGTAGATCCTGAAATACTTGTCCATATTTTATCAGAATCTGGAATTCCTGGAAAAATATGTAAATGGATATTTAACTTTTTATTTGAGAGAACAATGTATGTTAGATATAATAACATTCTTCATGGTCCAAATTCTGTATATAAAGGCACCATGCAAGGTGCAACAATATCACCATTGTTGTATAATATATACACCAGCCAGATTACCACTTATTTAAAAAATTCAAATATCAAATTTCTTCAATTTGCAGATGATATTGTTTTATATACTATAGATCAAAATGTAAATATTGCTGTAAATAATTTAAACAAAGGCCTTATACAGATTCATAATTTTTATGAAAATAAATTGAAATTAAAAATTAACCCTAGTAAAAGTGGTGCCATGTTGTTTAGTAAAAAATCAAATATTTGTGATAACAATGTTAAATATAATAGTGTTCCCATTCCATGGCTGTCTGAAAAGAAATTTCTGGGGGTGTATGTAGATCCTAAATTAACATTTGAAAGCCATATTAAATATATTTCAAAAAATGCTAATAAAGGGTTGACCATTATTAGATCATTGGCAGGTGTTCACTGGGGTGCTGATCCCCATACACTTAGCATGTTATACAAAAGCATAGTACGTAGTCACTTTGATTACAGCTGTCTTGCCTATATGAATGCCAAATGTACACAGTTACAGAAACTCGATGTTATTCAAAATAAGGCACTAAGAATTATTACTGGTGCAATGTGTTCGACTCCTATAAATGCAATGGAATGTGAATCTTGTATTCCACCACTGAAATTGCATAGATTAAAAATTGCTGAAAAATTCTGTCTCAAATTAATAGCCACAGAAAATAAACCACTTATTAATAGAATTCTACCCCAGGAACAACTACCAGTTGGCCCATATATTAATATTAACCAATTGATAACAGGGCATTTTCCAGAGTTATTGAGGATTATCATTCACATTAAAGAAAAAGCTGTAAATATATTTACCTGTAACCCTTTAGTATTATACCAATTTAGTCTCAAACAACTTATAAATATTAAAGTAGATATAATTACTCATACAATAAATCATCAAAATGACTTATTAGATTTATTTGAGAAACAAATACCTCAATATAAAATTTATACTGATGGATCTAAAAATACAAATAATGTAACTGCAGCTTTATATGACCCTCAACTAAAACAAACTAAATGTTTTAAATTAGATAGTAGCTGCAGTATCTATACTGCTGAATGTTATGCAATATATAAAGCAATTTTATATATAGATAATATTGTAGAAAATAAGAATTTTATTATTATAACAGACTCAATGAGTGTCCTAAATAGTTTAGAAAGTAAGGTATTTAAAAATAACATTAATTATTTAATTTTGTACATAAAGAACCAACTATATATATTACAAAATAAGGGAATAAGTATCAAGTTTCTGTGGGTACCATCACACCATGGCATCACTGGGAACGAAATCGTAGATGAAGTCACCAGAAATAAGCCTGATGAAGACCACAGTCAGATATGCAAAGTACCGTACACCGACTTTAACACCTACCTAACAGAATCCCACAAACTGTTGTGGACCAACTATTGGCATGCAATTGCATTAGAAAAGGGGAAATGGTACCACGACATACAGAAGACATTGCCCGCTCGTCCGTGGTACCATCCATCAAAACTTAAAGGATCTATAAACCGCAATCTAATTACCACCATTTGCCGTATGAGATTTGGCCACTGCAAAACTCCTGCCCATCTGCACAGACTGAAAATCATCAGCAACTCTAAGTGCATTTATTGTAACGAAGAAGGTGCCGATTTAAATCATTTATTATTGAAATGCCAACAGCAAGATTTTAAAATTCATAGACTGATTTTAGCGAGTGAGGTAACAAATCTAAATAGTGACAGTGACAGTGATGTTCTTGACAATAACAGTGAAGTTTTACATACGCTCCTCAGTGATACAAGATGCTATAAAGCTTTATATGATTATATACAAAATACTAATTTAACTATTTAGTGCATGGATTTATCTTTCCTTGTTTTATAATGAACTGATTGTAAGATAATAAGTTTGGCAAAAAGGGCAAGAACCCAGTGCCGTTAAAACAATAAATAAAAAAAAAAAAAAAAAAAAAAAAATGACGTTTTCTTTTTTGTCATATGGACTTGTTTTTAATGCTCTCTGAATTAAAAAAGTACTTTAAATAGTATATTGGATTGAAAAATGGTAAACAATATATGTGCTGTGAGTGGGTATGGGAAAGAATCGTACCTGGCTGTGGATTATCTTTTCACAGGTAAGTATGTCATCAGTAGAAACTAGGGTGACTATACTTTACGTATAGAGATGTAAAGTACGTACGTACTATAAGCATAGACCCTATTTTTGCCTAATTAAGTACTAAATTTAAACTTGTTGTATCACTTAACACTTTGGTTATTCACTATTTGCAAGTCTACCTACATTAAGCAAGCATGTGGAGGCTCATAAATGGATATCCTTTAATAATTTTATTGGTCAGTAGGCTTATCGTTTGATCGATCTTTTGCAAATATCTATTTACTCACCAAACCAAACCAAATTATTACTATAATAAAAATATACATTTTAATTTAAATTTCCAGTTTGCCAACCGATTTAGAGTTAAAGAAAAAATGGTTGATACCTGGGAACTTACATGAAAGCTGTGTGGTTTGTACACTTCATTTCAAACCCAAAGATTACCGAACAGAGGCTGTAAAAAGGCTGAAATCAGAAGTGATTCCTTCAATCTTGCCAAAGGTACCTACCTAATATTAAAGCACTCATTTATAAACAACATTATATCGAAAATAATAAGTTTAAAACAACAATTCATATTATAACTTATTTTTATGTACCCACCTAATTTCATTGCAGATTTTTCCTGATAACAAAAAAAAATAATATGTTAAACGCCTTTAGTTATACGCCTGACTAAAGTCCTTCATGTAAGAAGTTAAAACTTGATATTAATACTAGGCAAAAATCAAAAGAAGAGACATGAAGAAGAAGATTAATAATTTAAAGTCATTTTTAGCAGTTTTAAAAGAAAATTGTAATAATTATGAAAAGGTACAATCTGTCATAACAAACTGTTTCCCAAATATTCATCAGCAATTGAACAAAAATAAATCCAACAAAGGCATGAGATTCTCATAATAAGAATGTCAACTTATGTTTAATTTTAAAATGTAAACAATACAGTCATAATAAAATATACTATTTTGATTGCGTTTTATTATTAGGTCTTCCCCCAGTGGGGGGGGGGGGAGGGGGGGCAGGTCTGCCTATGAAATTGCTGATTTCCATAGTTTCAAAATTTATTATTGTTGAGTTGAGATTAAATAAGAATTTTTTCTGCTTCATATTAATATTATTCAATTTCAATAATCAATATTTTCTTTTAATGTCCAATATATTCAGGTAAAAATGGTTACACTACTTAGAAAGGGACAAACCAAGATTTATGACCTCTCACTCGGCGCATGTTTAGACGCACAGTAAGCATTCTAGGTGTACGTAGTACTTATTAATTCTATGTATAAACCAAACATCGTTCCTTTACACGTAACATAATAAACAACTTAAACTTACGATTAAAATAAATTAAAATTAATTTGAATGAATTAGATATTATAAGAAACACAAAAAGATGTCATATTTATTAATTTTCGATACTTAATTTACTTTTATTAAATTAGAAACAAAATTGAATGAATATCATAAATAAAATCCAAACATCGCGAATGACATCTGCTATGATTTCAAGATTTAATTTTTATTTTTTAAATACTTCCTCATTGACATATTTTATTATTGCTTCTTTACGTGTATAGACCACAAACGTGACATTTGCGGAATTGTGTAAACGAAAACAGGGCATGAATTAAAAAAGAAGAATAATTTGTTTGCGTTGCCGCTTTTGTTAATTTTTATTTTGTCATTTCAAGTAAAATAGTACAATTTGTAATCTTTTTATATTATATTTGTGCCATCCATAGCAAAAAAAGGACGTTTGGTGAACAATATGAAGCCAAGTGGTGATGGTGATGATTATGTTAGTAGATGTTTTCGACGTCGTTTTCCTACATTCCTTACTATTCATTAGTATGATGTTATATACACTATCACGTCCATACCTAACTAGATTTGTAGTTTTTAAAGTTGCTTTTGAAAACAATTCAAATAATATTCTTATATACTTAAGTTTCTTGTATTTTTACACATTAAATAATATATTTATGTATAAAAATGCAAAAAAAAGGAATTTATTAAGTTTAGGATTTGTCTATTCATTCTTTTTTCAGGAGGAACCTGAGCATATGCGAAAATTATTTATTGGTGGATTAGACTACAGAACTAATGACACATCTTTGAAAGAGTTTTATGAGCAATGGGGAGAAATTGTAGATGTTGTTGTAATGAAAGACCCCCAAACCAAAAGATCAAGAGGTTTCGGATTCATCACATATTCTAAAGCTCATATGGTTGATGATGCTCAAAATAATCGACCTCATAAAATTGATGGAAGGTACAATAATGTTCAGATTGTTTGATTGAAGTATAATTCAATAAATATATTTAAAATCACATTGGAGGATGTACCAAATGTTGGATTATGTAGTATTTATTTATCCCTTTTAAATGATTGATGGTTTGCCCCAATTGCACAACTGTTCTTAACAATAACCGAGTTCTAATGAATGTTCTAAATTTGTAAATTAGTATTGATAATGTCACTTTCAACAAATGATAATTGTAATAGATGTTTGTGCAATGAATAGTTAAACACATACCTCTTCTTAATGTAGAGAACTAATAACTAAACAATATTTTGTTAGATACAATAATGGGTGTAAGAAAGGCCGCACAAATGGTGTATGTATTATTATTAGATATTATAAAAAGGAAAACATTGGTTGGTTTATGGTGGCTGTAGACTTATTATTATATAAAAAGAGTAAAGAAATATGTATTGTTACAAATATTGAAACTTATGATAAAGATCATAAGTTTCAATATTTTGTTGTGGAAAGGTCGTGGGTTCGATCCCCATCTCAGGGTACCAGAGACCAAGTGGATTTTCTAAGCATTTTGTTTTAAGAATAATTTTCAGTATGGCATTGTGAATGCAAAATTAATCAAAAAAATATGTAATAATTAGATCAAAATTCTTATCTTTATGGTAAGTTTCAATATTTATAACAATACATGTTTCTTTCAGCTGCTTCTGAAAAGTAACAAGTTCTTGAATGATTTGTCAGTCCTGTTAGGTCCTGGGTAGCTCAGTGCTTAGAACAGTCGCCGGGATTGTGAAAGGTTGTGCCAGGGACCAAGTGGATTTTTTAAGCATATTGTATTAAGAATAATTCTGACTTCTATTCCAGAATTGTTGAGCCTAAAAGAGCAGTGCCTAGAGAAGAAATCAATCGGCCAGATGCAAGTGCTACTGTAAAAAAGCTATTTGTTGGAGGGTTAAAACAAGATATTGAAGAGGAAGACTTAAGAGAATACTTTAGCTCATATGGCAATATTGTTTCTGTTAGTCTAGTCACTGAAAAAGACACTGGCAAGAAAAGGGGTTTCGGTTTTGTAGAGTTTGATGATTATGATCCTGTTGATAGAATTTGTTGTAAGTTTAAATTTTTTTTTGTATTTATACAAAACTATGAAGCGACTGATTAGCAGTTATTTTAAATTTTTGTGATTAGTGTAGTTGAATGACTTTAAAAATAGTGGTAGTTAATACATAGCAAATATAGAAAGATATAACAGATAGTAGAGGCTAAGATATACATATAATTACATGCCATAAAAACAGGAAAATATATTGAAGAGAGAATCGCGCATTAAATCACATCTGCCTTATCTGAAAATATAGATTGAATAGTAAAGAGCTTATAGTGACTTCTATTACTACATGCTATGTTATTTATGTTAATGGTTGAATTACGCAAATAAATTAATATTATTAATAAATTTCTATTATATTAATTCTAAATTTCATTCTAGTGCAGCAAAACCACAAAGTCAAGGGCAACCGCCTCGATGTGAAGAAAGCATTGTCTAAATCAGAAATGGGTGGAGGTGGTGGTGGTGGAGGTGGTAGGCGCGGTGGCCGCGGAGGAGGGGGTGGTGGCGGTGGTGGCGGCTGGGGCCGTCAGAATCAACAAGACTGGGGCAATAATGGTAAGTCACTTGAACTTATGAAATCTTGATTAAGGTTATTATTTTCAGACCACTGAAATTACATCACCAGCAAAATATAATAGTTGAAGTGATGTATGGATTTAAATACCATAGCCCCCAATAATGAGCCACTTTTGTAAAATCGAAATCATACAGAGCATAGTTTTTTTTTTTAATAAAAAAAGAAAATTATAAAAACTTTGCATTTCATGCTTTTTATTGATATTGATATTTTTTATATAATAGTTAACACTAAAAATACTAAATACAAATGTAAATAAAAATATTTAACATAGTGAGTCTTTGTTTATTTACTGTTGCATTTGTAAATAGCATATGAAGATTTTGTTTATTTGCTCAACATATTTTTTTCCAATAATCTATGTTTATATTTTAAAGGAGAAAGATTTGATTGCTTTTTTCTTTGCATTAGATAGGCCCTGAAACTATTGGACCAATTTATAAAAGTCTTTCATTTCTCAAAGCGTTTTGTTTTTTAGGTGAAATAGGCCATGTCATAACATATCATCTTAATATTTAGGTGACATCTTTAAGAAACCGTATTTTGTTTTGTTATAAAAGGAAAACTACTTATTCGATTTCGGTAAAATTTAAATGGGACCACCGCAATCCATCAAGCTGTTGAATAAAACATTTTTTTAATTGGTCTACAATTGACGAAAATATCGGTGAACATACAAAAAAGCAATACATCGCAGTAGAATATATAACGTCCTCGTTTTCGATTTTGAAGTTGGTTAAAAAAGGCCGAACATCAAATCTGAACTTTAATAACCACTGAACTGAAATTAATTCAATTACGCACTAGTAATAATATCTAAAAGTATATTATCAAAATGATCTGATATTGAAACATAATCATCTATTAGTATTATTTTAGAGAAAATTTCGTATCTGGAAACATAGAAAACATTTTTATATTATAACATTTCATTCTTAGATGGAGGTTATAATTCAGGATATGGACAAGGTGGTTGGGGTAACCAAAGTCCGTGGGACTCCAACAACCAAGGCAACTGGGGAAATCAAGGTTATGGGGACCAGGGCAATTGGGGACAACCATCCAACAGTTTTGGTGGTGGTTACCAACAGGGTTTCAGCGGAGGACCCATGCGTGGTAACTTCAATACGTCGAGGTCGCAGCCTTACAATGCCGGTAAGATATCATTATTTCTTATAATGTTAACGCTATCATCATAATATTTAATCGTCAATCCCAGAATAAACTTTTTGTTTAAAGAATCATGTCCAATCTTAACCTAAAAATTAACTAACGCGTATTTTTACTTATTTCATATAAAGATCATAGAAAAAAGTCAGTATAAAAATTGTGAGATTTACGGTAATAACAACCCGAATGCAATTCGGGCCCTAAAATGGCGGGTTTGCTACACTAACTCAATGCGATTCGGACTCAATGACAGTTTGCTATGTTTCGTTTCATCTAAACGAAAAAAATATTCTTTTTTTATCAAGGTAAAAAAGGTGCACAATAACAATTAGATTCACATTTATTTCCATATTTACGGGTTAAACTGTAAAAAGCTTTGATTTCAATGCATTTATTTTCAAAGTAGCTTCACAATTATCCCGAGTTTTCACAGCTGTTATAACCTCAAAACATTATTTACAAATTACGAATCTCCCTGGCGTCCAGATGAAAAGGTCTTAAGATATTATTTTATTTTAAGCGAAAACTAATTTGAATTATCATTAACGGTGGGTAAGCGCTTGTACAGCCGTTGGTGGACTTGTAATTAAACGCTGGTTTATAATGTAGAAGTTTTTTTCTTGCTTACATAACTGAGACGCACTGAATTCAGTCTAGTAAGGCGTACAGCGAAAGAGAGAGCGTACGGAAACATTACGCAGCTATTTATTGTTTATGTGTTGGAAACATACCGACAACGCTACGTTTATAAAAAAACATGTGAAAATCAATATATGGAAAGTGGACATGATTCTTTGATCATTATAAATAGGTACCTACATAACAGGGTTCTATTTTAAGGTTTTATTAACAGGTGGAGGAGGTGGTGGTTATTCTTCCGGCGGATTCAACAGCAACGCGCCTGCTGGCGGGAACCAGCGCGGCCGGTTTTAAATCTTCACAATATTTATTTTGTGAGTATTTTTATATATTTTTTTAAGTCTAATAGTTATGCGATAAGAAATTATTCCAAATTGAAACCAATAGGATAATTTATAAGAGATGAGTCAGAATAGGATTGTATATTAGAATATTCGCCATATGAATAATATGTTCTTCACTCAATTAGTAAAAAATTTAAATATTTGCCTAAGTAAAAAAAATTGCCTTTCGATGTGTAGAGAAATCTTATAAAACAAGTTAATCTATCATAATTGGAAAGGAATATACACAATTTTTCCTTCGGTATTTTTTCAAACACGTATAACGTAAGTATATCAAATATTTCCAATTTAGTCTATTGATCTATACTCCATTCATTATAGCATTAGACAGAAGTTAAATAAGGTTCTTTTTATGGTATACTTTGTGACAAAATATCAACAATCATGTTACTCTTAAGACTGACGGCTGTTTTTGCTACATATCCACTTAAATACCAGCTACTATAATTAACCGTTGTCGTTTAAGCTATTTATTAAAAAAAAAATGAGTATTTGAATAACTTAAAAGATTTAATAACTATTACAATAAAAAGTGTTCATCTTAAAGAACCTAAAGAAGCGGGGTTGGATAGTTTCGGCACGATTCTCATGTCACTATAACTCGACCAAATTTAAAACGCTGCCTAATCCCTTCAAACGTTTCGGTAGTACAGCTTTTAAATTTTGTCAGATTATGATGTATTCATAATAGTCAAAATACGTTATCTGGGATTGTCATTAATTTTGAAAGTTTCAACAAAACTCTTATATATATTTTTTTAATTAATCTTGAAAATATAATGTTCTGCACTGCTGCTTCTATGATCCTCTTTTTTTTAATGTTGTAATAATAATAATAATATTTATTTTCCTTCGCCAAATTTAATCTACGAATATACATTAACAATAAACCAAATAGTTCAGTTTGTGAGAGGCTGATGCCTGACAGAGGTTTTGATAAACCTGACCTATAGGTCACCAGCCCCCTAATTGTCTAATTTTAAATCTTTTGCAATCGCTTTCAGTTTGAAAGGTGTTGCACAACCATTGCTTGTTTCTGAAGACAGTTGAAAAAAAAGTATTTGTATTATGCAGCAATGGTTGTGCAACACCTTTCAAACTGAAAGCGATTGCAATAGATTTAAAATTAGACAATTAGGGGGCTGGTCTCATAATGAATGGAGTGTAGGTAAAATTTCTTTAACTATAGTACAAAATCGCGTACTTAACGATACTCACCAAACACAAATACATATTATCAAAAATCAATGACAAAACTGATGTGGCTGCAAGAAAATTTACTTTTGACACTCTCTTACCCCATCCTTAAAAAAAGAATAAACAACGAATCCATGAAAATACACAAACACCATAAGTCGACTAGTAATTCCTTACATATGTTATATAACTTTTGCCTATGAAAGATATGTATTCTGTAGTTGTTTAGCAGAACCACTTTTGCATTGACCTAAAACGAATAGTGTGTACTGTCAAATTACCAGTTATTATAAAATCGAGCTGTCAATTATATATTTTTTAAAAACTTCATCTAAGTCAATTCATATCTTTATAAAACAATGAATTTTTTTTTCTTTCCAAATTCATCTTTATGAAGAAATACAAGCTATAGGAGATACATAACCAAAGATAATTTATATAAATATTGACAAATGTCTATAATTAATATGACTGAATGTTTCAATCACACTATTAGTCACAAAAGTATTGCCAATTAGTAGATCACACAAGTGTTATCTACTAATTTGCAATACTGTAACACCTGTGAAAATCATTCTAGACTGTTGATTTTGTAACTTATGCAATGTAATTGCAGTCTTTACTATCTTATTCTTTTGAAGAAATTCTTTTGAATCCTAATAATTTTTTGTTTTTTTTAATGCCAAGGCTACAAAGGTCACATTTGTAATTTTTCCACTTATCATGGTATCCCTTAAAACTTTGTACACAAAAAACAATTTGTTACAAACAGATGCATCTTAAAAATATTGCGATTAATCGATTTATAAATAATCCATATTATTATTGTGAATTTTATCATTATGACTTCATTATGTGCTGTCATTTTTAACAATGACGTTATGATTTATTAGTTTCGAGTCACGTGACTCTCAGATTAAAAACATAATTTTTAATTGAGAAAAAAATAAAAATAAAAAAGTATTTATTTCAATAAATCCATACAAATATGTGGCCGGGGCTTCTCAGAAAGTAGTGTAATGACACTTGTGTTGGGAAAGCCTCGAAAATTATTTGAAATAGTAATTTATTCTATATAAGGGTTTTAAGATTCTGCAGCAATATACTTTTGTTATTACACATCACATATACTCATTTTCGTCTACAGTCAACGCGCCTATTCATCCTCAACAAAAAAACAGCAAAAGATTATTTACTAAGAAAAAAAGACACTAATTAAAAACAGTATTATAATAGTACCACCGAGGAGTCAGCGAAAGCTTCCAAGTTACGAGGGTACTGTGTATTTACAAAGTTATTTTTTAATGTGTAGGTCCCAAGTTGCGCTTAGTTGAAGCTAGGCAGGCAGACGGTAGTTAGAGGGAGGTAGGCGCTGATCTAGCTAGTGAGGGACGAGAAGGACTTAGTGAAGCGGCATTAGCCATAATATACTTATTTACACCTACAGTAAGGTTGGTACAAAGGTACTGTAGGCTCTACTACATATATTCATATCTCTAATGGTCTTAGTAATTTACACGAATCACAGTTTTTACATTTGATATGTCACGATGTTACGCACGACTCTTTATGTTAGCGATATTTCACAGTTAAAACTTCGGCTTGTTACTGTTCCTTGTAATATTTCAGATTCTTTGTAAAAGCTGTTGATTGCAGGCAATATTTACGTTACTAGTCCTTAAGGAGAAAATAATTATAGTTTATTATGTTAATTAAGGGTATAATTTCAAAATTTTTATCTTATAATTTTATTATTGATGATAGCTGTAACATTCCAAATCTTTTGAAGGCGAATGAAGAGGAATTTTCGTTATAAATAAATACATTACGCATTGATAAAACCTATATAGCTATCAAAACAATTATATTCAAATAGTGCTTGACGCATAAATATTAAATATAATATATAATAATATTTTATATACTTCTTGATGTTAGTTAAGTGTAACAAGTTGTAATAACTTTGAATTCTATATTGTAATGATGACAATTTGTAATTGTTCCATTGTTGTGGTATAGGAATGAGTTTAAAAAAAAATTACTCAGATATAAAATGTTAAAATGTATGTAACATTTCTTTTTTAAGTATTATGCCGTTTCAATGTTTTATTTTTTTCGTTAAATAGATATTTGGTCCAGGTTTTATTGTAAGGTGTGAAGATTATATATTTCTTTCTTGTTATTTTACGTGTAATATGTGTGTGCTTATAATTAAATAACTATTTTCCATGGACTATTCTAATGTGGACGAGACGACTCGGTGGAAAAGGCCGTGGTAAGTTGACATGTCCAAATAAAAACATTTAAACAATATCTGTTAGTTTTATTATGTTTCTTGAAGACAATCCCAATTTCCGATGTAAGTACCAATATCGACCAATTAGAATGATTAATAATCACGCCATCGGACGGCCCAACAATAGTCACGCGGCTGATCTACGCTGAGTGTGAGTGAAATGGATGCCTAATGCTTTGTATTTTTCTTCATTACCTCGTGTGTTCATAAGTTTTAAGACGAAATAAAAGTTGCCTAACTTTTTTTAATAATTAACTTATATTTCTAATATTTTCAGTAACCATTAATTAGATAATAACGACCACAACAAAATATATATTTTATTAAAAATGACCGCCCTTGTTTTTGATACAGGCCCTCAGATGATTTGGCCAGTCATCAATGGCGGCACGAATCTTTTCTAGCGGAATTCGTTTTGCTTCTCGAACAAGGGATCGCTTCAGTGAACTAAGTGGGACTTTTAACAGGCCCTGAACTCTAATTCAGACCATAAAGACTAATCCAGTGGGTTGAGGTCGGGGCTGGAAGAGGGCCACTCGTCCACCGCGATGAAGGTCGGCACATTCTCCCTCAACCAAGCTTGGGTGATTTTGCCTTATGGGATGGCGCCGAGTCTTGCAGAAAAACCTAATCCTTATTGTGAAATAACGTATCAAACAGGGGTTTCACAACGGGCTCTAAAATGTCGCTGATAATTCTTGGCTTTCACCTTGTTGGCAGAAATGGCGAGGAGTGACACCTTCATACGAAACTCACCACTATATCACTCTAGTGGGATGATGGCACGAGACATTCCGTGCAGAAACTAGGATATCCTTGCTACTTTTAGCGTACCCTTTATCGTTTTGTCGTTTGAACTTTTTTTTGACAGTATAATTTTTCTCGTTGGTGAAGAGTAGGTATCTTCCTGGCATCGTGTCTTGACAACGTTCGCATCGTAACTTACGAAGACGATTGTTTAAAAAGTGAACTTTTCTACGGCTATAGGCCTTTACATTAAGATCATATTTCAGTATTCTGTTCACTGAAACTCGCAAATTATTTGTCTGCATGGCGAGTTTCTTCTGACTGCGACATGAATTTCGGCGAAGTCACTCTACGTTCGGTCATTCTCGGAATTGGTAGGTCTGCGCAAACGATTCACAATGCGCCATATTAATTAAACTTTTCTATATTGTCTCGACTCTAGGTTAAGTGGTACCTTCGTTGTCTCAGATACTCTATGATATGGAGGCTTTAACTGCTCATGTTAGAATCTGAGCAATGTATGTGATGTTCTCTAATATTTATTTTGTGTGCGGGTAGGTATACTTGCAATAATCAGACATTATTTTTTAAGTATAATGATTTTATTGGATTACTTAATTTTATATACATACTTACAATTTATTACCTACAAAAGCATTTTTCTTTCTTGACGCCCGCAAACTTGGCCATAGGAAATCTACTTTTTTGCGACGTAGTGGCTATGTAGGTACTTTGATTATTTAATAATTAATTTTGTAAGTGACGATGTTCCATTGACTAGATTTTTGCGTTACCTTATACAATAAACCGATCATTTAAATATGAAATAATTATAACTGAAAAAGTATTTATATAACTAGATACTTAATGTACACTCAGCTGCACTTCAGTTTACCACAGTACGTCAAATTTCTGCAAATCTGATTTTGACCTCTGCACTGAATAAGGTTTAAAACTGAGTGGGGAAATTTACAGTTTTGTATAGTCTGACGTGCAGTTGACTACGCACAAAATTTACTTGATGTGCCACGTTGTTGGCACCTATACGAGTGAAAAGTACATAGAACTATATCATATTAGATAAGGTAAGTTAAATAAATTAAATTTAAAAATACAAATGAATGCTCCATGGCGAATCTGCTTAGCATTCAATTTGCAAAGGCCGATCATTGAAGTGGTGGCCAAAAATTCGGAATCACATTAAGTCATTGTTAAATTAAATAAATCCATATTTTGAACCGATCAATAAGTTTACTTTGTAGTTTCCTTATTTTCAAATGCAGCTTTATTATCACCAACCTATTAATATCTCACTGTTGGTGCACAGGCGTCTCCTTTGGATGGAAATCGAATCGAATAGGAAGAATGGGTCATGACCCAACACGCGAGCCAAGTGTATTTATTATTGTTATATATAATACATAGATACTATTACGGTAATGACATGATTTATGTTAATGTCATTATTACTTATGATAAAGAGCTGGTAAGTTTCTTTCACTTGTTCTTGTAAGCTAAAAGACGTCCTGAACGAGTGGTAGTGGAAAAAAATTTGGACTATACAAAAGTGCTTGTAACGCTTAATTGAACAAGACAATTTTATTTCATTTCATTTCAGCTCGGATGGATGTTAACGATTGCAGATACAGCCGGGGCTAAGCGCTTAACGTGCCTTCCGAAGTACGGAGTACGGATAAATTTTCGGTCACCCATTCTATGGTCGGCCGTTGTGAAAGTTTCTTAACAACACAGTATCGCAGAACGAACGTCTCTGCCGTTGCTATTGGACGCCTATAAATACCGTATATTTTAAAATTAGTGATATTTATTTGGGCACCCACCAATCGGCTTTGGTCCTGCATGATGGGCCATGGCACATTCTGCCTAGGTAAGCGATTAGATCGATTCAGGTCAGCTTTAGGTGTCCTCTTAAATTGTAACATCACAATATTAATCATTAACCAATTAATTCCCATATTTAATAATTGTTATTAAAAACTTTAAAAATAAATAGATTCAAATTAAAAAAAAAGTTATACATAATAATTAATCTCAAAAGTGATTTATTCAAGAAAATGCTATTAAAGTCGGGGGGAAGTCTTCTGCAGGTTTATTAATTTACAGGTTTTACAGGTTTAAAAATTAAGATTTCAGATTTCCTTTTAGATTTTGAATGAATTCTAAATACGTAATTTTTTGTTTTTTTAGCTGAAACGTGTCCTAACATATCATCTTAAGATTTAGGTGATAACTGGTGACAAGCTTATTTTGTATTGTTATTTGGAAAAGCTGAATAAAATAGAATTTTGAAAATCTGTCAACATTTGACGAAAATATCGGCGAACTTATAACCTCCTTTTCGATTTTAAAATCTGTTAAGAACATGTCAACTTTTAACTTAGGTGCGTAAATAGTTTTGCTTATATGTATTAACATGTTAAATATTTTAATATAACAATATAATATTTAACACGTTAGTACCGTCAGCCAATTGTACAAACATTCATTAAAATTGTGTTTAGCCTAATACATTCGACATAAGCGATATAAATTTTCATATTTAACATTACCATACATTAGAGCTTAAAGTTATTAAATCTTAATGAACGTTTGTGCGAGTGACAGTAAATTCGACTACTATGAGGTCGAAATAAGAATTGGATACAGTATTTGCGCTATTTGTTTAGTTGCATTATTTATCTAGCGTCGGCGCGTGAACAGGCAGGCAAGGGCACGGCGGCGGAGGACAGTATGGAGCTCCCAATACAATCGGAAATAATCCTGAAGCGGCAGCTAAGTGTCTGAAACAAATTATTCACAGGGATAAGGATTTCATAATACAGTAGAACGATAAGTTAAAGTCCAAGGAAAACACAAAATATTTTAAGTTATAGAGGTTTTAAGTTATCAAGGGTCTATGTTAGGGATAGGTTAATATAGAGGTAGGTATGTACATATGTATGTACCCTTGTTCCTATTTTACTCAAATGCGTCAGAAGGACTAGAAAATTTATATAATCATATTTATTTATTCACATTGCACACGTTAAATTAAATTAAAACAATAATTAAAGGTTTAGTCTACTTAAAAAGTCGGTGATTTTTTTTGTTTTAAACAATGAACAGTTTCTAATCCGATTTAAAGAATTTCGAAGAAGCAAACAATAGTGTGATATATGCATTTTAAGAAGTAACATATGTATTTTTTACGTTAACAATTTAACTAGTGTACACGTGCAAGCAATAAATACGGAAAACTTTTGTTTTGCACACTCTTTCAAAATGACTCATTGCCAAACAATTTTATGTTATAAAGGTTGTGGAAGCATTTCTTTAAGTTACATACTAACATGTTCAAATATCACGTTTAATTTTAACAAATAATTTTTACCATCAAAACATACTTAGTTTTATTAACCTATATGTTTGTTTTATTTCCTCGCAAAATGCATTGAAAAATATTGTAAGAATCTTGAGCGCAAAACCATACTTTCCGCACTCATATCGTAAATAACTATTTTAAATTTCTTTGGTGCTCGGGCAAAAAAAATTAAAAAATACTTTTAAGCACGTGTGCAGTAAAGGATTTCAGTAGGTACATTTTTATTTAACACGTGTTTAAAGACTCAGTTTCGGTGTTTACAATGGATTAAAAAATAGCGCTTTATGAGCAACTCCATTAAAAATGAATATTACTAGTATTACTAGCAACAGAATTTTTTTTTATTGATATCGTGGTCGAATAATAACGCCGTCAAATATTAAAAAATGTTTTATAAATTTCAAGTTCTGTTGTAAGCTACTATCTATCATCATCAGCCATTTTACGTCCCCACAGCAGGGGCTCAGGGCTTCCGTTTAGAATAGATGGTTAAGGGAGATTGGCCAAGACCCTCAAGGGCTAAGGCCTTCCGTTTAGAATAGATGGTAAAGGGGGATGGGCCAAGACCCTCTACACTTGCTCAATGGAGGGTCTTAAAGACTGCAAATACAGCTATCTTTTTTTGGGTCACCCATCCCGTGAATGACCCTAGTATGTCTTATTAAAATTAAATTTTAACTCTGAAAGTGGCGTGGTTCGATTACCGCTAGGGATTTCAAATGCTGCCCCTCTAGATAAATTATCTTAACATACCTGTATTGCTGGTCGTGATGAGCTTTCTCGATTCTTTTGTCTTTAGCTCGTCTGTTTTGGAACCATATTTTTACTTGAGTTTCACTGAGCGATAGTGCTGATGCTAGTTCACATCTAGACAAGAGGAGAAATAAAAATGAAACTGCTATTCTGCATAAGATACCTAAGATTCCAAGAACAATTATGTAGAAGAAGTACATAATAATTGAAGTCAAGATGGAGCACATTATAACTTAAAAAAAGCCGTCTTGGGCATTCCCCAGTTTCATCAACGTCTGAGTGTGTACCGGGCAACTTTTAGCGTCAATGGTAGATTTATAATTCCAGGGCTGCAGTAACATTGAAAATAAGAATAAAAATTGACATTGAAAAGCATATTATTTAACTTTTGATTAAAATAAAAATCATAGCATTTAACTGCATTTAACACAACCTGCTTATTATAAGACCTCTTTATCTAGATCTACTAATTTCGATAATAACCGAACTATGATTAAAATAAAAACTTTTTGTAAAAAGTAAAGTTTTAAAGTAAGTATAAAAATAAGAACTTTTTATTTCATACTTTTTAGGGATATATTTTTTAACCGACCTAAGGAGGTTATATATTCGACGGCGATTTAATTTTTTTTTTACACTAAACATATTAAATATCTATTTAAATAAAAATATTTAACATTGTGAAAGTCTTAGAATAGGAGATTTTATTTATTTGTCTCGAAACTCTTTTATAAAAGTTTTTCATCTACGGGAAGCTACATAATACGCGGCGGATATAGGCTTTAATTTACGCAGGCGAAGTCGCAGGGAAACAGCTACCAACTTTGATAGAAATTGGTTCACATTTCAAGAAGAAATCAATGAACTAGATATGTTCATCGATTTCTTTCATAAAAGAGTAAAGAATTCATAAGAATTTTGAAAATCGGTCAACGCATGACGAAAATATCGGTGAATATACATAAAAAAAAAAACATACATCGCGGTCGAACATATAACCTCCTTCCTGCTTTTGGATTTTGAAGACTGTTATTATTAGGATTAATCGCGGGTATTTTGGCTAGTCAAGTTCCTTGTGTTTTACAGTGCCTATATTTGTAAAACATTAGCTGTTGTCCCGCGACTTCGCACTCTTAAATTATACCCTAAGTCAACCCCGAATCTGTTATTTATTAGGATTAATCGCGGGTATTTTGGCTAGTCAAGTTCCTTGTGTTTTACAGTGCCTATATTTGTAAAACATTAGCTGTTGTCCCGCGACTTCGCACTCTTAAATTATACCCTAAGTCAACCCCGAATGAAGTAACTATCCGTAGGTGAAAGAATTTTTAAAATCGGTCCTGTAGTTTCGGATCCTACTCAATGCAAACAAATATTCAAATCTTTGCTGTAGTATAGATATTTTGACTAATTTGTCTTAAATTACTTAAGCCCTCTCACATTTTCAAATCTCACCTTCTTGCCCTGGCAACATATTCACCCCGTGCATATTCAAGTTCCAGCCGCAAGGTCTGGTGTGCAGAGAAGGTGGTCCTCTGTCGCCGAGGTCGACTTTCTTTTCGCCGTCTCCTAGCCACTGTAGCAAAGAAATCATAATTAATCAAATCCAAGTTGTAGACTAACAACCAGTTAATGAATTGATAATTTAAAGTTGATTAGTTGTTAGCAGATTGATAAATCGAGAACTTGTTGCCACGTGATACGTAAAAAGCTTAAGTTATTGAGAATAATCAGGTGAGATTTTGTACTTTTCTCAATTCAGAAACCGGCCGTATGGTGAAGATTGAAAATCCCATACGGGAAGAGACATCATACGCGGGTGACTTGAATACTCGTAACTATAATTTACGCGGGCGAAATCTTTGTAATGCAGTTAGTAGATACTATTATTATTATTAGTAGAACTTCGATAGCACAGTGGTTAGCGCGTTCAGCCTGCAATACGGTTGTTAAGCTACTTTCACAATGGCCGGTCATAGGATGGGTGATCATAATATCTCGAGCTCCTCCGTGATTCGGAAGGCACGTTAAGCCGTTGGTCCCGGCTGCGTCTGGAGTCGTTTAAACCCACCAATCGTAAATGCGCCCGTGTTATGGGCCATGGCCCATTCTCCCTATTCGATTCGATTCCATCGCATAGGGAAGGCGTCCCTAACAGTGAGGACATTGAATGAATAGGTACATAGTTTTACTGTCCGACTATAAAATCTCAATGAGTAAAAAAATCACGTTTGTTGTATGGGAGCCCTTTAAATATTTATTTTATTCAGGTTTTTAGTATTTGCCATTGAAGCAGCAATAGAAGTAGGTACATCATCAGTGAAAATTTCAAATGTCTTGCTTTCATGGTTCATGAGATATGCAGCCAGTCCCTCAAACGTCCATTAAATTTTTCATTAGTTTAAAGATACATTACCCATACAAATTTGATATTCATTAGAGCTTAAAGGCGTCATTAAACCTTAATGGACGTTTGTGCAACCTGCTGACAGTCTGGTGACAGATAGACAGCGAAGTCTTAGTAATAGGGTTCCAGTTTTACCATTTGCGCACGGAACCCTAATAAAAACTAACGTAAAGATTCCTTCTAGTTTCCGTATCACTGCGATAAATGTTCTAAGAGCGATTGTAGGAGCGCCCACCATATTGTCCGGAAGTATACCGGGAGTGAAACCCTTTTTGACCGGGGTGAATCACGACGTAAAATATGAGAACGTAATATTATAGTTACCTAAATTAATTTTCTCACATGAATAAGCACCATGTGTAGGTAAACATGTAACAATCAAAATAAAATTTAATTGATCCCGTATTTCATTACGTTCATAATCTGCCTTCGTTGGCGTAGAAATATTAAAATTTAATAGTTTAGGAACTTGTATTTCCTTTCCAATTCTGCAAAATACAATTTCATATACAATTAAAAAACTAACACAGTGTTGTGCGTGTTGTTCCCATAGGTGAATGGATTTTATAATCGGTTCAGCAGTTGAGGAGCATATGCACTGGAAAAAAATCAAGTGCTTTCCCCTTAGACACAGATTCACAAAATTGAATATTTTTTCTGATGAATGACTTTTATCATATGATGTTTACTAATTTGACCCCGCTGATTCTAAATATACCCTCATTTTTTTTGCTACAGCTCTTGTTTACGAGTTACAGCTTTCACTCCAAACTGACTGTTCTCTTATGTTATTTTGCTGATAATTTAAATAAAAGAAGTTTTCTTAATATAATTTGATATGGCATCGTCAAGTCGAGTTTGTGTAAATGATCCGAACCATTTTTGTTTCATTTGCGGAGAGTATATGTTTAAAGAATGCCGTTTAAATGTGACAGCCTTCGTAAATGAGGCTTACAAAAATTACTTTGGTCACCCACTGGAAATGAAAAATAAGCCTTGGATTCCGCAAAAGGTATGCAAAACGTGCGTTGAGTTTCTACGTTTGTGGACAAATAAGAAAAGGAATAAATTTAGGTACCAAACCGCTATGGTATGGAAAGAACCCATGAACCACCACGACGATTGTTATTTTTGTTTGGTGAACATTACTGGCATTAACCGAAAAAATCGAGCTAAGTGGGAATATCCTTGCATACGGTCGGCATATAGACGTGTTTTGAGCCCTAACATATCCCCTGAACCTCAAGCTGGTGCACCACAGGATGAGCTTGTGCATTTAGAGGCAAATACACACAGTAGTGAGAGTGAGTTTGAATGTGACCTGGATACACCAAAACCATTCAACCAAGATGAATTAAGCGACCTTATCAGAGATTTGGGACTGCCAAAGTCTGCTTCAGAGCTTTTGGCGTCTAGGCTAAAAGAAAGAAACTTAGTAACAAAAGAAACTAAAATTTCTTATTACCGCACAAGAGAACAAAATCTCCTCAAATATTTTGCTGAAGAAGATGACTTCGTATTTTGCAAAGATGTACCTGGATTAATGGCTGCAATGGCATTACAAAATTACGTTTCTAGTGAGTGGCGTTTATTCATAGACTCATCAAAACAGAGTCTAAAATGCGTTCTTTTACACAATGGGAATAAATTTGGGTCGCTGCCTATTGCGCATTCTACAAAAAGAAAAGAGGAATATACAACAATTGCTCTGATTTTGGACAAAATTAAATATGTAGAACACAACTGGCTCATATGTGTTGATTTAAAAATGGTAAACTTCCTTTTAGGCCAACAAAGTGGATACACAAAGTATCCCTGTTTTCTTTGCTTGTGGGATAGTAGAGCTAAAACTCAACATTGGATTAAAAAAGATTGGCCTACTCGAGACGCGCTAGTACCCGGTCAACAGAATGTGATAAACCCACCTTTAGTATCAAGGGATCGTATAATTTTGCCTCCCTTACATATAAAACTAGGACTAATAAAACAATTTGTAAAAAGCCTTGACAAAAATGGAAATTGTTTCCTTTTCCTATCAAAAAAGTTCCCAAAAGTGAGTGCAGAAAAGATAAAGGCGGGCATTTTTGACGGTCCACTAGATACGATCACTAATAAAAGACTCGAATTTTACGGCCAACATGACAGATACTGAGAAAAATGCATGGAATGAGTTTGTCTGGCTTGTTCAAAATTTTTTGGGAAATAAGAAAAGTTCTGACTATTCTCAACACATTGACCAACTAATGAGTCACTTTCAAAGGCTTGGATGTAACATGAGCATCAAGTTACACTTTCTCCACAACCACCTGGAATATTTTCCCGCCAATCTTGGGGATCTAAGTGAAGAGCAGGGTGAGCGATTCCACCAGGACATTCGTACGATGGAAGAACGCTATCAAGGCTACTGGAACGCACACATGATGGCTGACTATTGTTGGAGCATTCAGAACAGCTCTCTGCCATCACCTTCAAAAAGAAAATCAAATAAAAGGAAGTTTTTTCCAACTTAAGAACTAAATAAAATGGGACTATCTTTAAAAATGTAGTATTTTATTATAAAAACACCCTTGTGTTATATTTTTTAAACAAGAGCTTATACAAAAATTTCAGTTACAGATTTGGAATTGTCATAAAAAATTAGACATATATCATGTATCATAAGCCAATCATCAGGTATGCTGTTGTTAATAATTATTTATTAACATAATAAATAATTATTTATTATGCTAATATATAATTATTAAAATGTGTAATAACAAAGAAATTATTTCTTTAATTTGCTGAGAATTAACGTCTTCATAAAAGACGAGTATGAACGTATAGCGAAATATTCTATTACCAAACATTATTTTATTCATTGACATAGTCTTCCTGCTAAGAAAAAAACAGGTAGCGATGCGGATACATTTCTAACCAGATTGAAGCGCTATAACTCGCGACATATGGCGGATCGGTGTGCGATTACGCGTCCGGTCAATTAGCGATTACACTAAACCACAATCTGCTGCTCGCCGACCACTTAGATTTTTAGTTATATAACTTAACAAAACCGGCCTAGTGAAGTCGGACTCGTGCACAAAGAGTTCCGTTCCATTGTCTATAAATGTAACAATACAATCATGCGGTAGGCCCACTTTAAAAATATATTTTATTTCGTTTTTAGAAGGTAGTTATTTGTTTGTTGTTGCCAAGAGAAATGTATCTGTAAAAAATTAAACTTCAAGACGGTGTCGGACACACAGATAAACGAACGGACGGACGGACAGCGGAGTCTTAGTAATAAAAAGGGGCCCGTTTTTACCCATAGGAGTACCTTACAATACCTCTTCCGTATAGAACAGGATGAAACACTTATACAACAGATTTTTTTTATCAAGAAAAAAAGAACTTGCGTTTTTTTCCCCCCTGTTTCATATAATCAAATAATAACGTGCCCAACCATAATTGCTTTCGTCATTAGAGCAATCTTGTGGAAAACAGTATTCTCATAAAGAATAGTGTGATAGAGCCATTCTTCAAGTCTCGCATGTCCGGGCTCATCAGAAACGTTTTAGGATGCGTGCATTGTTATTTTGTTTTGAACAGTTTGTTCTTTGGCGCAACTGAATTAGTATAGGAAAACTATATTTGCTATTTTACCTTTATACATGGTACCTATCCCTGCCATTTACATAAGATCGTTAATCCAGCTAAAAAACTTTATGAAACCCGATTTCGTATGGGTGATAAACATTATTATATCAAAAATCGTATTTAAGTCCATTGTTTAATTTAGAAGGAGTTGAAAGCATAGGTGATAACTAAACACTAGAAGTTACAAAAGCCACTTTAACTTGTAAGTAGTTACCAATATCATATCATTGCTCAGCTATGTATATATTATATTCTGCAAAAAAATCAGCGTCGTAATCGACTTCGAGCACAGTGCTGTCACGGAGGGGGCAACTGCGGGAGTTGCCTCGTTCGCCAAAATCATGATAATCTAATACAGTAAAAAAAGTAGCTACACAAAATATCTTTTAAAATAAATTCATAGACATTGCTTTGATGGGATGGACATATTTACAAGCTTTTATTTAATTTGCCTTGTTTGTATATTAGTTTGTGTGCAAATCTTGGAGCTCAAATTTGGCCCACTTCCAAGGTCCTATATATTTTATATTTTGCACAGACTTGTAAGTCAGATG